TGGAACCTGGAAGCTTTGTAGGACCAGAGATATGAAGCTACACTTGGATGGTGAAAACTCCATCAGCCATGTTGAACTTCATCTGCTTAAGCGTTGTAAATCGTCATTAATTTTTTCAACGCAAACATTCGCGGTGTCTTTGAATATGAGTAAACACACTTGGGGCCATCGGCGTAAATAAACCTTTGCGAATTCCTTATTCCAGTCGAAATATCATTGGTGTAAAGAAGAAAGAGTATTGGATCCAAAACCGTGCCTTAAAGTACGCCACTCTTAATCGAGTAAGATGTCGAGCAGCTATTACAAACCATGACTTTCTGGTAGTGGTTAGCTAGGAAGGACCCGATGAAGTCGAGTAGAGACAGCCGGATGTCGAGAGCTTCTAATTTCACCAGAAAACTTCAATGGAGCAACTTATCGAAGGCTTTGTTAAGATCAAAGTAGATAACTACCAGTGACTGTTGTTCATTACAAAGACAAGAGATTAGATTAAGAAATGTCGAATGGCAAGTTTCGCAGGATCGTTCAGGAAAAAATTCATGCTACTTTGAGCTCAGAAACCGGTTAGCTAGACAGAAGTCGGGAATTTCATTGAAGATTATCCTTTTCAGAAGTTTTGCTAGAGACCGTACTTTGTGTACATCCCGATAGTTACTAACATTGGACCGAGATCCAGACTTGAAGACAGATATGATAATTGACGTTTTCCATGTTTCAAGGAAAAATCCGCTTGAAACATAAACCGAGAATATATGACTGAGCAATATAAGAAGGTCGGGTGCTTGTTTTATAATCGATTTTGGAATCCCGTCCGTTCCTGGGCAGTGTGAGGTTTTCAGACGACTTATGTGTTTCTTAATGAGATCTGAGGAGACATCGATTGTACTCAGTGTTCTATGTGAAAGTTAAAGAAAGCAAGGGACTTGGTCGGACTCAGTAGTAAGGTGTATTACAAAGAAAACAATGGATAACTCCGCCTTATCAGTGTCATCGATGAGGAGGATTTTGTTATCGTTCAGCAAGAGTGAAATTTCGTGACCATGCTTGGGAGGGGACCGATGACGGAGGATTCTAGCGATGGAGTGGGCAGGGTTCGGATCACCGAGAGCAAGTGATTCTATTTGCCTGTCGCGCGCTTGGCGCATCCTTGAGGCCATATCGAAAATCTCTGTGCTTAAAGAGAGAGAGAGAGGAAATGCGCTTTATTTTGAAATCGTAAGTTCAAAATTTTCAGAAAAAAATTGGCTCCATTCACTGTGGACAGTAAATAAGTTAAGAGATTATTCAACATTCAAAGTTTAACACAAAGAAACGATTAGTATGGGGATAGTTCAAGTCTGAGCTTGTGTATTTCTGTCTCTTCGCACGTAAGATAGCGCGCTAGGAATGGCAATACAGAGGCTCGATAAGCCGATGTGCGACAGGGTATAAGACGGAAGTTGCGACGCATCGGGCGGGAAGACTTGGCAGACAAAAGATCGGAATGTAGGGGATGGACAACGTCATCTAGAATTCGACCAGCAAATTGCTTGACCGCATTGAAGTGTCGTTGTAAGATTGTGTCAACTAAAAAAATATAAGAAACGCCAGCAGCAGAAGAGAGCATGCGGAGGATTCGTTTCAAAATTAAAAGATCTTTTCTTAACAAAGCAGGAAAAACGACAGGAGAACAGTATAGGATAAGAGGAAGAATGCAGGCATCAATGAATCGCCAGACTAAGGGTTGAGGTGTGTGGTAGGAATGCAAACGACGAATGCAGTAAAGAAGTTTACGAACTCTAATAAATAGGGACTCAATATGGAGGGAAAAAGAAAGATTTAAGGACAAAGTAACGCCGAGATACCTGAAAGAGGATACCTCATTAGGAAGAATGTCAGAGGAATCAGGGTTAGGAGAGGGCCGCAGTCGAAAAATACACTGAACGGATTTTTGGTTGTTAAGTAGGAGACCATTTTCCTCCGACCACGCTAGGACATGGTTTAGGCCATCCTTAGGGGACTTGAGATCATCAGTGTGGAGGGAGAAAAGGTGAAGGGATAGAATGGAACCTTGAAGAACACCGCAGTCGTTAGGAAGGGTTGAAGATCTCCGCTTGCCAGATTGGACAAATTGGGTGCGGAAGGTAAAATAATCGCTCAGCCAAGAGATGACCCAGCCTGGAGAGCCACATGTGGAGGTTTTGGAAAGGAGAAGAGGGCGCGGGACGGTATTGAAGGCGGAGGAGTAATCAAGAAAAGCGCACGCATACTCGCGGCAACCCTTGTCTAATGCTTTTAGAGCAGAGTGGACCACAAGAGCGACAGCATCTAAAGTACTCCGTTTAGATTTTTATGCGAATTGTAAGGGGTCGGTAAAACTGGAAGAAAAAGGCTTTGTGATATCTAGGGCAACTCTTTCAGCAAGCTTTAGTATTGCAGAGGAGCAGGCAATTGGGCGAAAAGATTGAGGACCAAAGTTAGCAGGCTTTTTAGGGATGGGAGTGATTCTCACTGTACGCCAGGCGTCAGGAATCTTGGACTCCATGAAAGACATGTTGATTAAGTGCGTTAAAATAGGGGCTATCTGAGAATTGCAAGATTTAAGAAGAAAAGGCGAGACACCATCCGGTCCGGCAGCTGTTGATCCACGGACCTTTTTAAGGTGTTTCTCTACTGTTGCCAAAGACACGGCTTGGAATGTACTCGGTGATAGGGGAATGTCTTCTAAGGGAAGATGGGAGTCATTGTGACTAAATATAAAATTTTTATTTAGGGAGTCTAAATCTGCATCCACATGCACCAGCGTGTTGCGATGGCCAGTGAGACGCTTAAGATTTTTCAAAATCTCAACTGAGGAAGGGGGAAAGGGGGGGAGTAAGAAGAGGAAAAAAGTTGGCTGACAAATAGGCTATTTAGCCTGTCAATCTCTGTTTTTATTAAGACGGTAACGTCCTTAAGGTTATCACGTAAGCCTAGCTTGTAAAGGAGTTCTTTTTTACGTCTTAACGATTTCAGATAGGGGGAAGAAATTCTATCCGGTCGTACCATAACAGTATCAAAAGGGCAGCAAATATCGAAAATTTCATTTAAAAACGCTGTCAGGTTGGAAGAACAGGATTCAACATTAGAATGTTCAAGGAAAGTGGGGATAGTAAGAGAAATGCAAGTCTGAAGCATGAGAATGTTTTGGGCGGACGTGTTGCGAACATTAACCTTTCTCTCAGGCTTGGCGAGCAGTGCACGTTTTGAAGTGGAATAGATTTTTGGAAGGCACAATAAAGTGGAATGGTCAGAACCTGACAATGGAGCCCTGTTTTTACGCAAAAAAGCTTGCTGTGGTTAGTCAGAATATGATTAAGAGGGGCATCTGCGCAAGTTTTAAAGGAGACAAGATCATCGAAGCCTAAAAGTGTAAGGGGACGTAAATTCACGCGATTAAAATCACCGCATAAAAGAGTAAGATAGTCGCAGGATAATATAGCAAGTTTTTATGAGAGGAAGTCGAAAAAACGGGTTAATGCGCCTTCACAAGAAGAGGCGGGAATGTAAAAATACTAACAAATATGATGCCTTTAAAATTACTTAACAAACGGGGCTTACATAAAACAGCGATCACATCTATTAAATCATCAGAGTAAGAAAAAAGGGACTTACAGTCTCTGCACCAATTTTGATTAACAAAAATGACAACGCCTCCACCTCTGCCACAAGATAAAGATTTTCTATCTGTTCGAAAGCAGTAGAAGGATGGGGGAGTAATAAGTTGCGAATCACTGTCACTATTAAGCCACGTCTCTTGAAGGCAAACAACTTCAGTTTTGCTGTGTTCTTTTTTCTAGAAAAGTAGCTCCAAATCATGGGTTTTGTTGAAAATAGAACGACAGTTTGTCGACATGAAGGCAGGAATTGGCAATTGTAAGATAAACGGATAAAGAACTAAAGGATAGGTCACGAAACTGCCGTCACAATTCTTTTAGTCTGTTGTAAAGAAAATAAGGAACAAAGAAATCCGAAGAGTAAGGTTTGAAATATCTACAGTGCGAGATAACAATAGATGCAAATCAGTAGGTTCCCCTGAATTAGGAAGAATCCAGGTAATAGGGAGAACGCTTTAGACAAGTTGACTCAGGCCTATTTCCCTTAACAAAGTGAACTGAACTGTAAAAAATATGCGCGTAACGAAAAACTAGCAGAATGGTCAGCCTGCTGTGCCACCTAACACTTGTAAAACTTCTTCACATACTCAGCCTGCCTAGCAACTATTCGGACATATATTCGCTGATCTAATAGAGAAATAATAATATCTCGCATCCTTATTTCTCTGGATTTGGATTTTTTCTTCCAAATCAGGTCAAAACTACGCCCTATTAGATGATCTTTTCAAGTTTCAGACGATGAAGTTGATGAAAATTAGGAAGACTTGCAGCATATAAACATTTGCATGCATTTATCGCCTCCACGTAGAAATTTTACGGAAAAACCGCCTGAATCGTCTTGAAAGACAACCTGTCACGCAAAAACGTGAGTTGTTTTCGAGCTGCCATGGCCGCATGTTGGGAGCGCTTCCTGAATACCGTTCTAAAATTTGCATGAAAATTAAACACGGGCGCTTGGTAACAAGTAAAATCACTATTATTCTTTTTCCGCAGCCTGTTGCTTCAACCATGCATTTTGTCTTAGTCTGTGCTCCTCCTCTGTTACTTTTATTTCAATTCTCTTACTTCTCTGCAAGGTTTTATCTCTGGCAAAAATTCTTCCATTTCCGCCGCCCCACTGATTTTATTCGTCTTTAGAAACAATCTCTGAAAGTCTACTGGACTTAATTTTCAATGATTGGCGTAGTCGTGAATATATGCGGATAATTTGACGAACGTGGCCCGGAGATATTTGGGCACTTTAGGGAGAACCGACGGCTGCTTAACCACGAACAGCCTTGAGCCGCTTTGTTTAAAATAATCGAAAAGGCCTACCAACAGTTAGGTGAACAACTTAAACAGCCATCCTTGGGTTGTCGATCAATAATGAGTGCGCCTTGTATATGTGAAATTTGCAACTGCGGGTAAGAAAGAGAATATTCTACAAAGATCTATGCATGAATCAAGTTGTAACAGGCTCACTGGTCTGTTAACTGCCTCGGAAATATCTTGCTGATGAATGTGATTTCAACTTTTGTTCCATGTAAATGATTATATTTTCCTAAAGCAGAGGATCCGTGATGTCAGTTGGTACTGTAACTGCATATCTCTGAAGACGCGATTATAGCTAGCAGCGTTTGTAACTAAGTCTTTATTAATTGCTTATTAGGATTAACTATTTTCTCGCGTTGTTAAGGGATTATTTCATATAATTTTCATGTCCTCATAAACGTTCGGCCTATGCAGACAGATTAAAATATTTTGCCTTGTTATCGTTACGGCCTGCTTTTATATTTTTGAATTGGCGAACAATATCTTAGGTCGCAAGAGCATAATTAATGTTTTTAGACAACATATGTGTGCACTTTTATGGACAGATTGCAACGATTTGCTCGTCTTCAGTTAAACAGTGTAATATCATGTGACATAGAAAACCTCTTGCGACGCTTTGTCTGACAATCTAGTAAGTCGACTTTACCGTTTTTTAATTTTTTCACGATATATACCTGGACTTTATTATAATGAATTAGCAATAAACACTGTCAAAATAATAAAAATATGTGTCTCGTCCTAAGGGATTACTCGAGTGATGTCACGTCTAAAGCATGAAGATTGGCAGCGAGAATGGCTGGAAACAATAGGGGAGGGCTTTTAAGGAGTCATTAAATGGGTCGTACATTTCAGTTAAATGTGACATTGGTAAATAAGAGTGTTTCGGACAGATTCAGAATATTCCAACCTGACTGAAATCGATAATAATCCTTGGACGATGAACACACACTTAGAAGTATGTGACGGAAAAATGTTATCTAGGTAAACATTTGCTCATTAAAAATGCACATGTACAAATATGTGATCCGTAAACCGTCGGCACAATGTGGTGACAGGATTAGACAGAGACTGCCGTAGAACCAATACGTGTTTTGTAGCTTAGTGCACTCAAGCACAAGTCCATGCACCTTAATTTATACAGTGATCAGCGAAAACAATGAAAGACAATGTATGTCAGCACCATGAAGCCTTAACACACTTGCAATTTTTACCTCCAGTGAGCAAATATACCGTTGTTGCGTTTATTGTGAATTTTGCTTAAACCGCATCTAATTTGCGCACCCAGCAATTTTTATCGTAGACTCACTTAAGTATTACCAAGCATGCCACCAATATAACAGTCAGCAAGGGTGTTAATTTAGCGACTCTCTCGGCTTCGAGCCAGAAACGGAACAATGCATCTGCATGTTTTTGTGGTCGGCAAAACTAGATAAAGTGCTTTTTATGTGTTTTCATTGCAGTCTATATGAAAAATGACAGGCCGCCGAGTTTACGTTTTTGATCGGTGTTGGATATTTAAAGCATGATAAAAGGTTTTTGAGTTTCCTCTTTGTCAGCTTAGTAATGGCCAGTCAGAGCGAGACTGCCCATCTTCATCGCCAGTCTTTTAAATAATGATCATATGGCGTTCAGATAAATTTTCCAACAGTTAGCGAAAATTGCTAATTCGGGAGGGGGTTTAAAAGACAAACTAAAGATGACACTTGCACTGCTGGCAAAATCAAATTTCCCGTATTTAGATACCTGATTCCCACATCTTTTAAACAGGAAAATTTATTACTTGTTTTCATGTCGTAATTGCGGTGAATACAGATTTAAAACCCGTAGAAGTAAGCTGATGTCCGATATTGCACGTTTTCTTGGGCCGATATTTTGTGCGTACGCTCGATTTGTTTGGTCATTCGTTCTAACTTTTCTTTGTAATTTGACTCTGCTGGCTTGTTTACTAACTTTTCAGCAGGTTCCTTTTGTAGTTCTTAAAATCCATGCCAAAGAAACTTTAATGAATTTACCTATATGACCCATTTCGGTGTTTGATTGATAGGACATCATAAGGCCGCCGATGTAGATGGCTTTTAAAGACCCATTATTCGTAAGCGCAGGTTTTTTGTCCACTGTGGTTTATTTTTTTCCGGCAATAAGTACGTTTATCGTTTGCAACGGATGATATAATCACGGAGGAAAATGAACTCGATCGACTTGTTTTGATCGGTGAACGATATTTCGTTACCTTTGTTTTGTCATAGACCTACGTTCGAAGTCCCTTACAAACCGTACATGAGTGATGGTGAGATGTGGAACTAACGTCCACTAATATCTAGACCCCAATTTACAACTAAAAAGTCGTATTTCTCCTCCAGAATCCAAATTCATTTCAAAGGTTCCGTTTGAAGGCAATTATAATATAGGGCACGTTGTGTCATTTTCCCTTGTTTTGGGAAGTTAAAATAAACAAAGTGGCTAAAGCGACGCCACTTGCCTTGAAAGAATGAAGCAACGATAGAGTGAAGGACCCCACTTACCTGTCGATGGACTGTGAGTCTGGCCATACGGGAATAATGGTAACGTGGGTTTTACGGGTGGGACAGTACGCCAGACAGTTAGCTGACGAAATGCAAGTAAACACGAAAATTGTTTGGATTTCTACCGAAAGTCTTATCGTGCACTTTCGTATGGCAGCATGAGCGCGCTGATTAAAAAATAAACAAGGTTGAATTTTCAAAAGATAGGAGAGTTTGAGTAAGAGTTTGAGGTCATGGGAAATAATTGTTTTTGGCAGTGTAATGCCGGCAATGGCCTGCAAACTGATGTCAAGATAAAATCCCATATGACAGGATCGACATTCTGCCGACGGTTAAATGGGGTCCTTCACACTAACGTTGTCCTTCGGCGTCATCTGTGTGAACAAATTTAGGCATTTGACTAAGAAAATACTTGCAGAACCCTAGTTGTATTGATTATCACAGCAATGCGCCGAATCGCTTCCCAGAAGGATTGCTCTTCTCATTTAATCCGTCAACTAGGCGTCACTTAAGGGCTGTCAGTCTAATTTGAAAAACTAGATGACAAAAGACTAATAGACTTTTAACTGTGTTGCTAAGTCTGTGTGGAGAAGTTTTGAGCACAAAAAATTATACGCTCAGTAGGAGGTGTGGGGCCATCACTACTTTGTTTAATGAGGGGGAAGAAAACTGAACACAGGAACCATCTGTTTATTTGCCTGAGCGTCAGAACTTCTGCAGCAGTCCCTCGTCAGAAATAGAAACAACGGTAGGCAAACGATAATTGACGCAGGGCTTCTGTAAACTCTGGGCTTGTCTTGTTTTTGACGTGGGCAGTTATCTTGGGGGTCGCAAAGTTAAATTTTTGAACTATTTCAAATGTGTAGACATCCACCTGTGGCAATTCGCCACGCCGTCGTATAGCCGGTTTATTTCCGTAAATGCGCAATCCGAGCATACTTTTAATCTGATATGTGTAATTACAGTCATATTTTGTGCAGGGGATACAATACACTACACTTGACTGCTTCCGGGAATTTAATTGGCCCTTAATTCACATAAACTTGCTGCGCATCGTAGCCTTGGGCCGGTATGCAATTTTAACACCTAGTCCCGCAGCAGTACACTCAGCCGCCTCTGGAACCTCCTTGATATGTGGCAGCGCATGTTACAGGAAATTTCGGGCGGGGTCCTCCAGGACGAATACGTAAGCTCAGCTCATCGACTTCTTCGGATATCCATTCCGCATAAAATGGTTGCGGAATTGCCGGGATCCGGCGCGTGCTTTTTGTGCCGGGTAACTGCGGCGAGTCTGAAAGACAGCAAATAGGCTCGTCATAAGTATGGAGGCCAAGTAGTGGAGTAATTCCTTTCAGTCAGCAAAGATCTGGTGCCTGCATGTCGATTTAAAACCCCTCTAGGTTACTGTTTTGCTTATAATCGTGTTTGCGTACCTATTTCCCCTCCTCAGTAAACGGTCTTCAGATTATGTTGTGCATTCAGCAATACGCAATTATAAAACATCATTGTTCGAAAATAAAACTTAGCCTTTTGGCAACCGCTAAAGTTCCGGTATCCTTTATCTGTCTTCTGCTTTCTTTAAGAAGTTATTGAAAAAAATCATATTTTTTACAAAAATAAACCAGGATAATTTACCGCACATCATAAATCAAAAATATACAACCATTATATTTTCGGCTAGTGGTTATAGGATACAAAATTTAATAACATACTGTTTAATTATTGGATGGGTTTTGACGGACGTTTTTCTCTTAAGAAACACCGCTGTGCGCACAAACATATTTAGGACGCTTCGAACCAGGTCGTTTTATTTGTGGTCGTGCAGAAATGAAAGTTAAAAGTATTTATAGCAGCAACGATACTTTTGTAAACATTTAATAAATCAAGTCTGGCAGACCTACGCCCTCGATTATTCATGATCAGGTCTACACAGTAATATTAGGGAGGGCAAAAGAGCAACTGCAACTGTCTCTGATGATGGATTCAAGAGAGAATCCGAAACGTCAGGCGAATAAAGCCATTGTTCCAGCGATCGCTTCTTCTTCTGATCAACTAGTTCCTGGAACTCGCATTTTCGCTTGTATCGGCAAAAGTTTAACAGCCAATAAAAGTCAATATGGGAGAGAGGGTTGAGGAGCGTTCAGGGGTCAGGACCTCTATTCCTATGCCCAATACTTTGATGACACTTTCTCAATAGCGAATGAAAAGCTTGATTTGAGCACCCTCCTGTATAAAGTGAATCAGGCTCTTACAGCGTTTACTTTCACCTTGGAAAAAAGAGAGCGGATGGTGCCTTCCGATTCTGAACGTCCTACATAATCGGAAGCCGGGTGGGATAATTAGTAGAAGTCTGTTTCGCAAGAAAGCATGGACAGGACAATACACAAATTGTTACGGTTTTGTCCCGCTAAGCCGGAAACGAAACCTGGTCCGCTGCCTCACCAACCGAGCTAGAAGAATATGCGCGCCAGACAGGTTCGAGTACTAACTCGCCATTATGCAACAAATTCTGAGAGTAATCGGCTACGCCGAAAAGCTTACTGGTAAATTTATGGAAGAACGCCCTCCAAAATCTGAAGTTTCGACGACTGAAAAGAAGGAATTATTTCTCATTTTGCCATTTCGAGGAGACCCGGCCTGTGACCTACAACGTCGTCTAAACTCCGCTATTGCACGCACGTACCCCGCCGCTAGAATAAGGCTAATTTTCTCTAGCACACCGCTTCTCCGCCTTGAAGGCAGGGATAAGCTGCCGTTTCAGACCTCCTCAATGTGCATCTACGCGTTCACTTGTTCCTGTTGAGCCGGTCATATTGGTCGAACAACAAGGCGCCTATCCAAGCGGATGCGAGAGCACCATCCTGCCTGACTATAGTAAAAGGAGGAAAAGTCGATTTCTAGCGCCGTTGTGGCTCACTTGGTTGACAGTGGCCACTAGGTGGATGTCAACCATGCATTGCGTGGCATCTACAAAGTGCCGGCGAGACACTCCTAGTTCCCGGGTCAGGGGATACTTGCGACGGCCGAGGCAGTCGCCATGCGGTTAGCCAACCCAGCCTTGTGCTCGCATAAAGCGTTTGTACGAACGCTAAGGCTTTCTGGGCAAAGATGAACCCAGCATATGGGTTTACATCCGCCACGTCGCGTTGAAGCGATGAAATAAGGGCAGATAAGAGCCAGACACCTTCCCCTCTCTCTCCCTAAGCCCCTAACAGAGCTAGGATCTGACCCCTGACCTCTGAACGCCCCTCAACCCCCTTCCCCATATTTTCTTTTATTGGATGTTTAAATTTTGCTATTTTGCCCTCCCTTATATTACTGCACAGGCCTGATAATGAATAATCGAAAGTGTACGTTGCCGGGCTTGTTTTCTTAAGTACTTATAGTGACATATTGTCTAGCAGAAGCACGAGCGAGGATTTGAATTATTTGCAGCACTCATAGACTATATGGAACTCTTGCAGCCAACGAGCAGTCGCAATATAATCAGCATTCCTAGCACCTCTTTGTGTTTTTCAGTTTTGAAAACCTTTTCGATTCTCAAATAATTCTGAACTCGAACTGCCGGCTCACTTACATCCAGGTTTTCGAAACTGAAAGCTCTATCTCGCGCTATTTAAACGCCGTCATGTAAGATTTATCGATGAATGCAGACCACGTCGGACACTTTAAAAGCAACATTATTAGACGTGCAGATGCGATGCTTTATAAATGGAGATTTCCTGGTCTTAACAGATTTCATACTTAGAAAATTTTTAGAAAACGAAAGGGGCTTCTTCTTTAAGTATAAAGTTCAGAGACTTAATTTGCTATCAAATGAGCATAAGAAGGAGTGTTTTCATGCATGTTTTTTATTAAATATTTTCGTATCTATATGGACAAGGAAAATAAATAGGAAGTTCACACTGCTTCAGTAGACTCCTTAGCAGAGTCTGGTTTTGCGGACGGTCAGAAAGAAGCTCGTTCAAAATTCGGCATACTGAAGTGGCTGAATGACCTTCGAATTATGCTGTACGGTAATTAATATTACAAGCCCACGTAGGTAGTCCATTAGAATCAAAAACACATTGATGAATTTCAGTTTACAGCTCTTGAGATAAAACGTATAAGCCATTTAAGCTAACCACTGTTAATTCGGAAGGACTAGCTTTTATGCGCAGTATAAGACACTCTCTTTTAAAATAAACTACGTGAGGAGTTAGCGATTTCTTAAGCAACACGTATGTAGCACTACGCACGTTTCAGTCTCTTTTTCACAAAACAACAATTGCGTTGTATGAATTCTCAAGCCCGAATTAAAGGCGGCTAAAAGCTGTCGTGGTGTTTAAAGTGAGATAAGAGAAGTTCAATTTTAATATGAGTTTATTAATCTCGGCGCCACTAATGCAGTAGCGTGACAATAAATTATTAACGGACGGCGCTTGCCTCTTGAGAAAAACATTTTGCAAACTGAGGGCCAGAAGCCTGCTCCAGGTGTACAGGGAATAAATGCATAACACTATATTAAAACACCGAATCAAAAGGTATGTAACTGTTTGCGTTTCGTTTGCATCATCCCCTCTGTTCGGGTGCCCAATCAACTGTCTGAATGTTCTTCTTCAATGCAATCGTCCTTTTTACTCCGCTATTCCCTTTTTCTTGCATTTTTCGTCCTAATATACATTGTGGTTGGACAGGATGATTGGCACACAGATAAAACTGAATTCTAAAAGTAAGCTGTGGCCCTTCTTGGTTTTCAGAAACATTTTCAGCATATAACCACGCAAGACTTGCGACCGCCGATCTGCGCAGTGAATGGTTTGTCTAGTATGAGCAAGTCTCATTCAGTTTTAATACGGAATCATATTTAGGCCTAACTTTCAAAAAAACTGTTAGTCTGTCCGACTGGCATCACTTAATCGTTAAAAGTATACGTTAATCTGGTTTTTAAATGTAAACTGTAAAGCGCGTTTTCCTCTTTTCTGGAAGTAATATTTTCGTTGGTTTCCATGGGAATCATGGAGTCATCTTCCAGGACGCAGAAGTAGCACAAGGGCGTCTACCTTTCAGAGTTGAGTTTTGTCTTCTGAGTGGGACCGGTTTAAATGTGATTAATTAAGCCTATACACGCATCATTTCTCAGTCATGTGATATTTGATCCATACATAGGTTTATGAACTTGTTTCTATCCGAGTCTTGACAGTGATCATCTGTTTTAGTTTTTAAATTTTCCCTGATCAGCTAATAAAGGAGTTCAGACTGGTATTTTGAGCGCCCAGTTGTACAGCAGCCCTTATCGTATGAGATTACGCAGACCCTGCGCTGTCCATTTCAGGCGTCACAGATGCCCACACAAGCCCAAACAGCGATTGCCGTGGGGGCCCTGTGTCATGAGCGAGTACAGGGCCCAGTACCTGACCTATAACTGTGAACCCGTCAAAGCAATTGTACCCGACTGCACCACGCATCAGTCAAATGAACCCCTCTCCTCAGAGACAACTCACAGGTATCTTGTTATTGGACAGTAGCAGCAGCATCACAACTATCCTTCAGAGTTGATTACAAGCCCAACTGCCTGGAGGCCGTGTATCGGCGAGAGCCTGATAAGTACCATCCGCCGACTCAGCCAATGGAAAAGTCCACCATGTACAGAAATGAATTCACACCCAAACTCTGTGCACCGCCGCCTCCCGCGAAACCCATCGAGAGATCACAATGCCCTGCCGCCTTCGAGGGAAACCCTACCTATCGAAGTGGGTTCCAGTCCAGTTAACTGTCCCAGAACTGCGTTAAGTTTAAGACATTAGAGTTAGTGTTTTAGCAAACGGCAAATTGGCGGCAGTCTTACGACTTACGCGGTAACTTCTACCGCAATAATCGAAGTTCCTTTTGATAGTAACATATTTGCTGCTTATCATTAAGATGTACTTATCAGATGAGCAATCAGCTTGCTCTCGGCCTTCAACCAGCATGATGATATCGTTGAGTAGCAGTTGACTGAAACAGAAAATCCTGCTGTTATCTTAAAAAACCTGAATTGGTTTTAGTGAACAAGAAGAAAACATAGGTAATCCTATAACTGGGCTATGTAACTTAGCCTGCAGTACGTTCGGGGACTTGTATATCAATGGGGTGACTGTAGATACACAGGTTTCTGGTGCACAGAAACGCAGTAAAGTACGAGAAATCAAAATTCCGGAAAAAACCGCATATTTTTTGTAATCTCCGTAGAAATATCGAACAGTAAAGTATACCTTCCCGACATAAAGATAGAGAATTAGTAGAAGTTGTAAAATCCAGGATTCGAGGCGGAATAATGAGAAGTACACAAAAATTTTAAATGATTTCGACAACCTCTACGGCTACGCAGATGAGTCACATCGAAACACTCTATGGAAACATGCCTTAGCGGAGGATAATTAGGCGGACCTGCCATGTCCACTCCATCAATCCCTCTGCACATTTGTCCATAAAAAGAAAATAGCGTGTCCTGGCCCAAATATTTTTCAGGCTGTGGGTGTGGTTCAGAAGCATGTGCGCAAACAACTTCTGCCGATTAATTATCCGGTCTATTTGCAAAAAATGATCCAGGCATAAAGTTATAATAGATAAATAAAAAATTATTTTGTTTAGCACTCATGAGGTTACTTTCATGGTAAGTAAAAAGGCACCTTCACATGACTTTTTGCATGAGTAGGTAAACACTGTGCATTGTTCACTTTGTGCTTATAAAATAGGCAGTCCGATAATAAAAACGGTTAGCAACCAGTAAAAACTCCTTCACTTTTTAAAGAGGCAAAAATGAATGCGATTTGATCCATTTGTGAAGGGAAAAACTGTCGCTCATGTGGAGGAAAATATGTGGGAGACAGAACCGTCCTGCAGGTGAGAGCATATGGGCGCTCGAAACGTTCCTTGTCAAGGTAGAATCCCTAAACCGGATGAGGCTATTCGCTGCAGATGCGATCACAATATTTTTGGGATGACAGCAGGTCGGATTTCTTTCGAACATGCTAATCTATGTTGTTTTCTACAAATTGAAAGATCCTTCAGCGTTCATGCTCTTGATTCGCGTCCAGAGAGTTTAAATTCCTTCACAAGTCATGACAGTAACTTCTGGGGGAAAAATTAAACACCAGCAGGGTCTGTTCTATGCTACACCCAGTTTGCTACTTTTGGATACGTTATATACTTTGGGACTCTGTATTAGTATGGTCTAAGTGGCAACGTCATGCCGGCATAGATAACTCACCTGTACAACTATCTTGTTATCGTTTGCCAAATAGAGTTTTTGAAAGACGTATTCATACTGTTCCACCGTTTTTCCTGCCTTGTCCAAAACAAAAGTTCTCCTTAAATATTCCTAGAATCGTTTTAAAACATGTAACCGATATGGATGCAATAACTCCTTTGGGTTGTTCTAATAACTGACCTCACTCCGGATATATTTCTTTCAACAGCAATCCCTGACTGTAGTGCTGTTTATGTCATCGTCAAGCTGTGGCGTTAAACTCTTTCCCTAATGTCTACATTTTACTGTTCACCGCCGGTCTCATTGGGCGCCCTCTTGTGCTTTTGTAGGTGATTTCCGACCCTGGAATATTCCACCCATAAAACGTCGCGAGCCTGACCCCTATCGACCGCCTACGGTCCCATTTGAAGCACTGCCATCCTACAGGACGGAGTTTGTTCCCCACTGTCAAGCGCGTCCCAAACTCATCAAACCTGACTGCGAGCTTACCTTTTCGGACAAACCCCTCGAAGGCCTGACAGACTATCGTCAGAACTATGTGCCACATCCACTGGAAAAGCGACCATCCCCACCAAAACCCGTCCCTCGTGCAAAGGCCCCATTCGATGGCATGACGACCACGAAGGTGGACTATACTCCGAAGGAATTTTGTAAGCACTCCCCCACCCTCCCCCCTCTTACCCATCGTATTTTTTGCCCTAAAAATGGAGAAAATAGGCGTTCAAATGTTCCTGCCGTGTCATTTGGGTCGGCGCACACAGCAAGTTAGGCAAATAAGAAAACTTCCGGCCCACCTGCATTTAGCCATCCGCCGGTCGGAAGTTTTCAGAACTATCGCAGACCGATAAACTTATGCTGAGAGTGATGGTCACATTGAGTTCTTTTAGGAGTGGTCGTTCACAGAGTGGTGAAACAACTACACTGTTGCAAGACTAAGATTTACGATTGTGAAGCATTTTCGAGGGTTTCTTTGACTAAGCAGCCCTGCATGCCTCAGTCGTCTTGACTTGGTCTTAGCGTGAGCCGACTAGACGTATGGGAGGAGGATGGAACAGATGCCATAAAAGTTACCTTTCCTCGCAGAGGTGATGGTGGCCAGTGTTGTTATCGGCGAACCAGTCCTTTATTTTTCATGCATCCACTTTTATCATTAGCGGTCTTCTGTGGCCGAAAAGTATTAGTAATAGTAGTATTAGTGGTGTGTTTGTGTGTGACGCCATTGCGACTTTAAACGAGATGGTAAACCGCAGATCCACAATTGGCAGACATTTTCTTACGTGAATATCCCAATGCGACATTCTTTTCAAGTATTGTCGGGGACAGTTCAATTCTGACTCTGTAACAGGTCAAGCAGACCCCAGAGAATCACACTTCTGTTCAAGTTTCTAATACCTAGTGCTCCGAAGAGGTTAACTGCGCTGCAGAGAAATAAAACTGACAGCTTACTTGTTTATTAGTGCCCTGTCAATGTCTTAAATTTGTTCATATTTACTCAGGAATGAGGGCTACTAATCAGTACTTACGCAATCGCACCAGACCACAAAACCCGCTCTTAGATAAAGACAATTGTCAGTTTTACCCCTCAGAGAGACTGCTTAAAATCCATTGGGTCGAACATGTAGTCAGGTAACTCTCACAGGGAATTTTCATCCTGGTTTACACGTTGATCTCCTAATCACCTTTCCGGTGGAATGCCTTAGAATCCTTTATGCGTCCTGTTCATGGTAAGGTGCTGAAAACGTCGCAAAAATATTCGGTCAGGGAGACCTTGACTTATTTCCACCGGCAGTGTGGGGAAAAGATGACTGTTAATTTCCTCAAAAATAAAGCGATCGTGTTGAAAGTGTCCTGAACTCCAAATAAAAAGATAAACTAGAGAAGGTTGAGATGTCCGGACCTTGTTAATCGTGACGCTTGTATCGTCCAAATTAAACCCAGTTGGCTGCGGCGGATACAGTAGTGGGCATACTCTATAGCTGCCTCAACTCCTGTGTCCAGTTGCGTTTAGGAGGAGGAGGAGGAGCAGGAGGAGGGGGAGGAGCAGGAGGAGGAGGAGGATGAGGAGGATGAGGAGGAGGAGGAGGAGGAGGAGGAGGAGGAGGAGGGAGACAACATCCGTAGGCGGTTATTCTGTGCAGAAAACCGGTGGTAGCCAGGGCCAGCGGCGAGAGCGCCCGCGCGTCTGCAAACGAGGCCGGGTGGGCGCTAGTGACTAAGCGCGTCTCATGTGAGCGAGCCAGTCAGTGTCGACTTGGTGAGCTGATTGGATGGCTGCGTGCGGCCGAGCGGCCTCGGGGATAGCTTGCAGGCGCCGCGCCCACGGCAGGGTAATCGCATGACTCCTGGCGTGACTCGCACGCCGGGGACGGAATGCTTACGTGTGCATGAAACGCCCGCAAAGTGGCCCCTCAGCCGAGTTGCATTTTACTAGCGCCTTTTACTGTTTTGCATTGTTTGGAGGTAGCTTCACTCGAGGGTTTTGATACTTTCATTCTCTCACCTTTAACTTCATCCGTTCACATTGACGGTGTCGACTGGTCATTACAGTGTCACCTTTTATGATGTGCATTTTGCTTAAAAATTATTATAAAATGTGCTTCTCTTAAGGGTGTTTGAAGGAGAGAAAAGTTCTCTTATTCAGTTGCCGGCTGTGATTTATAACAATGCCTTCGTCTGCTTCTTTTATTACGCGAGATTTAAATTTAGCGAAAATGACCAAATTGGCCTCAAATGTTAGGTGCAAAAGAAATCGATCTTACGTTGAATCAGGGTTTTTCGAAATAGTAACAGAGGCGGGAAACGTTCTTCACTATCGGCTTATGTGAGGGAGTTCTTGATCCTAAACGGTCTCTCTGGTAGTTCAAGTTTTTGCTTTAGCAAATGACATTGTGTTTGTCAGAATCTTTTACTTGACTGTGGCGTATAAACCGAGCTAACTTCTCGAAAACTTATTAGCCCTCTAACTTTCCAAAGCATTCACCTTTCCACCAGCAGCACATCTGCCACGTAGCATTCCCAAACTTCGCATAAGTGACCATTCCCCACGAATGATATCGGAATACAGCAGTCATGGGAACCAGTTTTGAAATCTTTGTCTAGGTGCTCAGATGGACAGCATAAAAGTAGAACGTGGGCTTAAACCAGGTTTCTGCCACTGTGTAACCCTTGAAAAGGTATGTCATTGCTGCGTTTGTCTAAAGCTTTCTTCTGGTCGGGATACGTCTCGCAGAAATGCCTACGCTGCCAGAGCATGACGCATTCCGGCTGCTTGTACTTTTCCCCGTATCCATTTCCTAGTTGTCGGGTGGTGATCCACACCGCCTGATTCCCGCGTTGGAGGCGTAGTGTGAGCTGATGTAAAGTGAAAATCCGATCTCACGCACGCTACGCTGCGTCCTCTGCCTAGGCTATCCGTACAGTACTGTTATCTACCCGCTTTGTGTTAACGGAGGTTTTTTCTGGTTTAGAACGTTCGACGTAGTGTAGAGTCCAAAATCAAAACCTATTGGTACATCCTCCATTTTCACGTTTCGAATTATCCTTAATAATTGACATAGTTTAAAGCGTCAGATTTGGGTCCTAGTTTATAACCTTCTCCTGGCTCAAAAATACCATTTAACTAGCCCAGCTCGTTGGTTCGGTAGTCAGTATCATCATACAACTACGGCTCTTCTTTGCAGGTACTATAAAAAGCTTTAGACCCGAGGACTGTTT